ATACCATACATCTACCGTAAAGCCACAAATAATCCTGACTGTAGGGAATGGAAATGGTTTCCGTGATCAACATTCAGGAATTATGTCATGGCATTTGGTTAACCCTGAATTTTATATTGAACATCAAAGTGCTAGCGTGGTTTGAAAATGACACAGCTAGCAGCCACTCTCTTACAAAATTCATTTTTTCTTTTCTTTTTCATATTTGGATGGTTTGTCTTGGAAAAACTGCATTTTGCACCACTCTATCTTTTATCTTCGAACTGGGTCTAGTGAGACTTGAAGCATCTTGTGAAGTTTTTCACCCGCTAAAGTCTCCGTCAAGGACGTAAAAATCTGCAAACGCGCACACTCTCATTTCCACTTGAACCTTCCCAAAAAACATCTACTTTCAAGTTCGAATGTCACCGCGAAATGAGGACGAGGCCGCACGTCAACTCGAACAAGAAAGGCAGTTGCAGATGAGACGGCAAAAGGAGGCAGAAGATGCTTGGCTACGAAGATTGGATGAAATGTTTGGTAAATATTCACATCGAGTTTGGATATGCTGGAAAAAATGTGATTTTGTATTTTAGAGCAAAGAAATTCGCAAGACAAGCTCATTCAAGACTATATGCTATCGTTGATGAAGTTCTTTGACGATTTGAGAGTCCATCTCCATTCTTTACCGCTCAAGTCTCGTCCAGATGTAGCAGATCGGATACGTGAAGCTGTGCGACAGCATTGTCGAGAATTGCGAGTTTGTCGGACTGCTCCCCTCAATAAGTGTAGGTTTAATTGATTTTATCGATTTTTGCGTCACCCTATCCTATGCCATTTTACAGTAATCGAGAATGCGTGTGTGGCGCGTGAATCGGAACTGTGGAGCTTTATCGACGTCGCTGCAGAAGTGGCGCTGGACGGTCCAGATTCTGATGGAGGCGGATCGAGTAGTGATAGCAGTGGAAGTGGACGACGTCCTAGGCGGATCCATACTTTTCATGGTACCACAGGGCCTGCAGATGAGGATGCCCCATCGACGTCGGGCAAGGAAAGTGAGCATTC